AACAAAGGTAACATTTTTTGTTTATTACATTAACACAACCAGTTTTGTGAATTCACCTGTTGGTTAAAATGATTGAATTGATGACATATATGTCCAGCAGATCCACCATCCACCAACTGTTACTTTCGTTCAAGGTATGTATACAACCATTATTCATAATGAAGCCACTCATTCTGCCATCATTTCCATTATTCGCAAACCAATTAGCGTATAACGACGATTGGTAAGCTGGTTTGTAAAGAGCTACATTGTATAACTCATCATCTCCTAAAGTAGTCTTTTCTTCGCTTGCAAGCTACAATTTAATATAATATTGTATTACTGAAGCGTGCTGGAAATATTAATTAACTAATGTTTTGGATTCACATTTAGATTCACATACTTCCAGTTAATGTGGCATTTAGAAAATAAGATATAAGAATAAATATAGAGCACAGGACAGCAAAATAATAGCAGAATATAAAATACACAATCAATTATATTATTCGATTTCTCTAGCGGATGAAATATTTAGTTCACAGTTTTAAAATTAAATCTTTATTGATTTCTAATTGGCCCAAATGGGTTATCTGTGTACGCACACATTTTAAACAAATCGATTTACCCTGAACGTCAATTGTAATAAAAAGTTTTTAGCAATTAAAAAGTCACAATAAATTTGGTGTCCACATAATAAACAATTTAACCTGGACTTGAAGAGTCTTTTTTTTTTGCAGCAGAAATACAAAAGTAAACAACACCTCAGAAAAAAAGAAGATTTTTTATTTATTTTGCAGATTATTTTATTATTCCTTTTATCTATTACAAATGTCAAGGTGGTTGGTCCACAATGGAGATTGACCACACGTCACGTGTACATTAATAGTGTTTATTTCAGACATTTTTCTTCAGTGAAATTTAAAGCTTTCAGATGGTATGCACTTTAGTTTCGACGATAGTTTACGTCTGTTAAAGTATAATAGTATAATAGTTTCCAAGTAAATTGAACATTTCTCTAACACGTCCAGGAGAGAGGCAGACTGCGGACGTGTTTCGTGAAGCCCGTTGAACTCTGAAAAGATGCCCGAAATAAACTCTGTACACAGGTAACTTTTAGACTATCAACTTTTTTATAACAAATAATTAGCTGTTTACCTGGGGCTAAGTTATCAACTCCATGACGTTTCGTGGGCTGTTATCGACATGTGATATAAGCTGTGTACAACCTGACATCAGCTGGGTCGTAGGAGCTGTCAAAAGCAAAACAGAGTTGTTGATTAAATTGTGTATTATGAAAACTTATGTTGTTATATAGTGAAAAGTCAGAGAGACGCATTATGAAAAATCTGGTAGATGAATTTAGCCTCATTTTAGTACAGTGTAGTCATATGGCAATCACATATGTGATGATTCAGACCTATAATAGATTTAGCTATTTCAAGAATTCAATTGAAATACTGACGCATGTATTTTCTAACCATGGCCAGATATGTCACAGTACCAAGTGTGTTGGTTACGGTGGCAAAAATGGTTACATTGTAGGAATATCACCAGTGTGTTATAATAACCATGAACATTCGCCAGCAGAAACACTTTTTAAAAATACAAAACTAGCAGTATGTACCTGACGCTTTCCGGAATGTATTGAATGTAAAAAGTGCTCTGAGTTTTAAATTTTACTTATACTAGGTATAATGTGTGTACTTAACAGAAAGGGTTGGGTAATTCATATGGGTATAATTCAGTTGAGGTGAGTAATAGGAGAGAAATGATAGGGTAATTGACCCGTATACAAGACGCTTACATCGTCTCTATTTGTACGTTAACATAATGTAATGTAAATATTTATTTACGGGTAGGATGAATAATTCGGGTTGGCCTACAGTTAATTATAATATAATAAAGAGCTGATGTTTATGAAACGCAGGTCAGATTTTTAAAAATCTTGAAGGTGAAGAGAGCTAAATTCGACGACAAGTTTATTCTGCTTGTTCTAGGCTTTGTGCCCATCAAAAAATCGATTACCACTGGATTGTTCAAAGCTGCTTTTCTGATCGTAGACCCCAAACCATTGGGGAAACACTTATAAACACCAGCTGTGTGGGAAAGCTTATTAAATAAATTATTCTCAATTCCCCCTCAAATGACACCATCAGAGATAGACTAGAGTACACGAGCTAAACGTCCAAGCTCAAGTAGACGTAATTTCATTATAATTCTATTTATAAATCATTCTATTTACATCTCGAATGAAACAATTTTCAAAGTGCCAATCATTTTAACACTAACCTCGAGCAAATATCCACATAAATCTACACACCTCGAACTATGATAGACATAGATCTAAACACCTCGCGTGGTGCTACACATAGATCTACACACCTTTTTCAGGTGTTTAGGAATAACCGATAAGTGCGTTATCCTTGTTAGACGTTATCGATGCTAAATATAGATGTTGCCGTAGCTCTAGTGATGAGATAAAAATGCAAACTGTAGCTCGATACACAGAACATACACACATACTCACACAAATACACACACACATATACACACACATACACAAAGTTTGGTAGCTCATACAATCTCTACACATTTTGATTAAAACAAAAATAATAAAATTATTTCAGCAATGTATTTTACCGGCCTTTTTACTATTTTTTTTTCAATTCCATTACATTCTTTTTTCCCAAGTTGCAAATATTGTAGAAAACGAACGTTATTTTATTAGGAATAAACGCCGTGTTGGGTATAGTGTATTGTATGGAGGGCATTTTACTGTGTTGTATCACAGTGTAACGAGGTATTTAAGGATGCGTACGTGTCATATCATAAGGAACAGTGCCATGCCACAGGAAATCGAAGCAATCCAAACAATTTACTTGACAAACAAGGTAGACAATTTTACTATACATGTTCCTTGCCATACAGCTCACACCTAGAGATTTCTTTTGTATCTACATCGGTGATGCACCCACTGACACTAGTTCAAAGAGCCGGTCCTATTTTTTTTTATGTAGTTGTCTAATCGTGTCTGACGTTTTTTTCTCTTTCTGATAGAGCTTTCTCTATTGTCTGCATGTTAATATATATTGTCTTTATTCCCTTAACAGGCCCGTTACATCATCTTAAGCTGGCCTGGACTTTAAAATCAATACGTGGGCGGCAGAGAAAACGTGTTAAAATTGTGTTTAAAATTTCAGTTGTAAACTTTAAAATACCTTGTTTTGTATCAAAGAAACCGAACAGGTATGTGCACTTGATACCGTGTACAATAACTTGTCACCTTGTAGGCTACCCAGCTTCACACTATTGTATTAATAGCCACTTTAAGATTCTTTTAGTAAGGTTTAAACGACACAAGTTGATGACTTCATTGGTGCTGATTCGGTAGCCTCACTTTTAGTATTGTTTTTATTAATGTTAGCTATAACGTTGGCAACACAATTATGGCTCTGAAAATAAATATGAAGAAAGACAACCATGGAATTCTATTGAATGTGTAATATTTTCATTGTTATTTCCTTTTGACCATGACACTTTGTTCGTGCAGATCTTACAGGACAGCGCCAACTAAAGGCACCAATAGTAAATGACCAAAGACAAAACAAAACAATAAATACATTAAGAAGATGTAATTTTATGGAACACAATTTATACAATATATGAATGCCCCTATAATTCGATGGAGGTTAATATATTCCTGTGTTAAGCATAGAGAGATTTACGACATAAACTATTGACACTACAGGAAAAAAAGAAAGATAATCATGAAAATCTTTTCTCTTAAAATATTTTCATTGTTGCTTCCCTTAGACTGTACTCCTTTTTATTTTCTCGTATACAGAGTATAGAGGAAGTATTATGATCGTTCACATAAAATCAAATGACACTTTTCATCGATTTACACCTCAGTACTTCATCACATTCAAAGTATAGGGGACATATTTTTATCTCGCAAAAAATAATATCTATGCGAAATCGAATCGGAAAAACTGGGCTTTGCAATTATGTCCGCATGTCTATGTGTGCGTATGTGTGTCTGTATACACGATAACTTGAATACTGTTATAGCTAGGTGGATGAAATCTCATGTACAAGTATTATATCAAATTTGTAGTTCTGTATCAACTTTTCAGCGATTTCCGGTAACAGATAGTGGAACATTCTACTTTGGTTTTTCAAAAGCATATAACTTGATTACTGTTTTAAATAGATAAACGACATTTCACATGTAAGTAAACAATATAATTCTCTGCTTTCTGTCAAAATTTAAGCAACTTCCGTTGTATCAAAATAAGTCTAAAATTATTCTATAAATAAAAAATATCCGTTCAATCTTTAAATATTTTGTGAGCTCATTATGAACCGTTGGTTATGTTCACGTTAATCATTGTTTGTAATGTTACAAATATTTACCAAGAGTTGCCATAAAATCTAAGGAAGTTACGTTATCTTTAAAATGTGAAGGTTAATCTAGCAGATGAAATAGAGTCAAAAATTTTTTTGAAAATGGCATAATTAAATTATGCCGTCACAGCCGCGTTTAAACTACCCGATTAACTCAGGAACCCATTAGAGCTGGATGGACTCAGCAACGAGAGACTTACATTTCGACATGCGATTGTTCTATCACCAGTTGGTGAAAGTATTTAGAAGAAATAAGAATAAAGAAAATGTTTACACAAATGTCAGTTTATCAGAGCGACAAACTCCGATCTCACTTAACATTTCTATTGGAGTAGGAGAACACAAGATGTAGATCTTAACTGTTGTGTCTGGTATCAGTTAAGTTTATTTGAACTTCACTTCATTGAAATAGATCATTACTAGACATTTATTTATCCTTATATAGGCTACATGTCGGCCTTGTCGTTACATTGAATTGGGAATGTTTTAAAACCAACGACAGCATGACGGTAATACCAACATCAGTATCAAAAAGTTGTTTGATAACAATTTGCTAATTCTAATTAGCCTATAAAAATGAAATTAACAACAAAACAAATAAGTTTTATCCTGGGCATTTATTTTCTAGTATGTAATAATTTTGTAAACAAATAAGAAGAGCAAGAAATGTAATATGTAAAGTTACAATTCATGGTAAGGTCAGAACAACAATGTTGCCGACATTTGTTAAACACAAAATATTTACAACATTAAACATGTTAAGTGCCTATAATACATTATGATAGATGCAAATTATAACGGTTAAACGGTTTGAATCAATCAAAACATTTGTTTTAACCATTTACATGTTATAAAATGTTTACAACAAATGCAAGTCATTACACAATCAGTTTAATGACGGAAAAGGTTCCGCCATTTTGTTTGTTTACATTGTGTAGACAAGGGGAGAGAACTAACAGTTACATCAGTCCCAATACTCCCCACTATAATTTCCTTCAGAGTTTGATCCACTGTGGGGATGGTGATAAAACCACCTGTCATGTCCCAGCCTGTAGACACACGCTCCACTGGAGCCAGGACATGTACATGTTGTGTACCAGTACCTGATGATGCTACCCCTCTCATGTTTGTGTGTCCATCGTCCTACAGAGACCTGTTTAGGACAGCCATGAGGATGTGACACTATAACGGTCAACTTGTCCACATCAACAAATCTCGTGTATTTGTCCCGTACATCCCTACTTAGTTCATAAAAGTGCTCACACATCTTGTCTAGTTCATCAACCAACTCTAAGTCACATGTCACATATCTCAACAAACACCTGTCTCCCTCAATGTCTACCCAACCCACCTCCCAGCCATCAAGACTGACCATTGGACTTTTATTGTCATCAAAACCTAAAACACACCTGGTCTGTCTCGCCTCACTGTCATCAAATACCACGTGTGTGGCTGTCATCATATGAACCTGCCCCCACACTTTGCTGGGTGTGGCAGAGACTTGACACTTAGCACAACGACAAGTTTTTCTATCACTCTCTGTGCACTTGTACGCAATCCACACCCTCCCCGTCCCTAACCTCATCACGTGACTTCCTCTGTCCTTATAACATGGATATGGAACTTGAGTGCCTGGGTAAAACTCTGGTCTCTGTAGACTGGTGAATTTAGTCTTTACCTGGACAGTTAGGGCTGCCAATGTTTTGATTGTCTCATACATGAGGTCGTCGTCATGGTAACGTGAAGGGAGACAATTTGTGTTGAAATCTTTAAGAGGTATAAAACCTTTGTGACCTGGATTCTTCGTACAGGCAGTAACATGTTTGTGTAGATCAGCTTCTCCTCCATAGCACATCTCAGCTTCATGATTTCCTACAGATATAGGGGAAACAAATTATTTAAACAACCTAAAAACAAAACACTGATATAAAATGCACCTATTATTATTTTGATTAGCTATACTATGTTTACACTAACACATGATTTAGCAAACTGATATAGATGTAAATTAAACTTTTACTTTTTACTATCTCCTTCATCTAATGAACTATACAATTACTAATAGTAAAGTCATCTAAATGTTATCACTAGCACAGATTTATAATTGTTTAGACTAGAGTTGTCTTATGTTTGTCATATCTTACCTGGAATAAAGACACCTGTTTGGTCACTTTTGGAAACTTTACTTGGGCTCTCACAGTATGGCACATCTAAAATAAAATAATAAGAAAATAACACATACATTACTTTATAATTACAGGGACAAGAAATGTGGCATTACTGAGATAAAATCTTATAGCTTGATTAATATCCTCTCAAAGTTCATTCTCAGATATGTAAGAAAACTTATGTTTATAGAATTCATTGGGTATTTAGCATTTACTTTTACACTTACAACACATGTATTTTTTTTTTATTAAGCAATGGATTTCCTTAAGCATCTGAATTTTTAAATTGCCATAATAGTTTTTAGTTTAACAAAATAACATTACTTAAAGATTTGGTTCAAAGAATGATGTAACATTTATCTGGCTCTACCTTTAGGTGTACTTGATGGCTCCAATTTTCTTTTTCTCACTTTGTTTGGGGTTTTCATGGTCTGTTTTACTGTAGATATGATTATAGATCATTAATATAAAATAGTAACTAGGTTTCATAAGTGCACTAATAAAAATGTAAACAAATAAGAATATGTAGAATTAGTTTTACATCTGCATATAAACATTTCTCTAGTATTAGATACACATAGTAACTTAAAATAGATTTGTTTCTTCAAAATTGTGAAAAACACATTAAATTTATACCAAAAATGAAAAAAAAAAACAAGATAATTTTTGGCTATAAACATAGCACCTATGGTAATCAGCTTATTATTTATTTGATATTAGCTTCTGATGAACATGTTAATAATTTTAATTAAATGTGATTTTCAACTATATATGTTTCTGAAGAATGAGTTATATTTGAAAATAAGACCTTAAAATCGCAGCTTACATAATAAATTACCTGATTAATTTTGATACACTTGTTGGGATATTTACAGTTGTCACTCACAAGTGCCCACTAACCCTTGAAAACAAAAGTATCTGATTATTTTGATGAAAACAAGGTAGATCAATGTTTATTTTTCAAAAGATAATTTATCTTCTCAATGGTCAGAAGTGTTAACCTAGAAAAAATAATTCAATTGATTCTCAGCAAATCAATAGTCAGTTTAATTGCAATGTTTTGTAAACCATATAAGCTTGTTGGCTGTTAATTTTCCTCTTCTGTGTTTAATAAATATATAAAGTATTTTATTTAAACATTGGAAATAGCAACTAAAACATCTACACTAAGTTTGCAGAAACTGTAACTTATTTAAACAAGTATTATACACAATGTAAATGCTTAAAAGCTTATGTGTATACATTGCCTAATCCAATTAGTTTAGAATATTCCCATGCCCAAAAGTTCAGATGAAGTTAAAACACATTTCAAATAAAAATATTTATCCGAAGAATCTTATTCGGTAGTAATTACAGCAAATAAGATACCTAATTAGGCTGGATCTTTACTAAGTTTAATAAAAATCAGTTATAACATTTAACTTTGAACTATTATGAACATAAAAATAGAATAGAGCATGTGCAAGCAATAACAGTCGTCACATAAAAATGGTTAGTATTTCAAATTTATTCTCAGACCTAAATAAAATGTATGAAGATTAAATTTTGAAAGAGAATCAATTTGTCCTTCAATATTCATATTTTTCGTAGATCTACTTATGTATAGCTCTATAGCATAGTTAATTGTTGAAACAAAAAATGTATATAAAAATTGAAAATACACCTCTATAAATCCCTATTGATGTTTATACTTATAAATGCATTAACATGCAATAATAAATTAGGCTAAAATATTACATTGTAAAATAACCTATTAGTACCAAACATTTGGTTTAGACTTCATACTGAATACTACCTCAAAACAAATATTCTTTGCTTTATTTTTATTGTATAATTATTGGTCGAATTCTGCATCTTAATTTTAACCTGCACTCTTTTATATGACAGAAGTTCTAAATTGGATTCAGTTCTCGAAGTTGTAATGTATGTATAGATCTAGATCTAATCTAGACTAGATCTAGATTTCTAGATCCAGTTTAAAACTAGAATCTAGTCTAGATGTAGATCTAGATCTATATCATTAGATGATTAGAATAGATAATAAATATAGATCTAGATCTAGAATAATGTTTTAATAGATCTAGGGATCTATTATCTTGTCCAGATCTAGATTATCATGATATATTATTTATACTATTAATTAATTAATATAGATCTACTACAACTGTACTAGATCTAGATCTAGATTCTATTAATAATCATACTGTCCTAATAGATCTAGATCTAGTTAACGTAAAGTACAAATCTTAAAAGGGTTAACTCTTAACTTGTCTTAAGACTTAAACTATCTAGATCTACTATTCTATAGTATAGATCTAGTTCTATAGCCTAAGTCATAAGTCTAGAAACCTAGATCTAGATTAGCAACATCTAGAAACTAGAATAACCATAGATGAGATCTAGATCTATATCTAGAATACTATATGTATGTCGATCTAGAAAACTGAAAAGTAGAATCTAGCTAAATTCTAGACTAGTCCCTCAAGATCTAGATCTAGATCTAGATCTAATCTAGAACTCCAGATCTAGATCTGATCTTGCTCTAGATCTCTAGATCTAGATCTAGATCATAGATCTAGATTTCTAGATCTGGAGTTCTACTTCTAGACTAGAACTTGCTCTAGATCTAGATCTCTAGATTCTAGATCTGGAGTTATAGACTTATAGACTAGATCTAGAGAGAATCTAGAATCTAGACTCTATATCTAGGTCTAGAGTCTTACTCTAGAATACTCTAGATTCTAGATTATCTAGATCTAGAGTCTAGATCTAGAGTCTAGATGATCTAGATCTAGATCTAGATTCTAGATCTAGGGGTCATCCATAAATGACGTCACACTCGTAGGGGGGAGGGGGGTACGTAATTTTGTGACGATGTGTGATGAGGGGGAGGGGGGGGTCAGATGTTGCGACGTCACATTTTTGCATTATAAAAAAGGGATGTTAGAAAACGAATTTTAGACGTTATTTCGCGTTTTAGAAAACTGTTTTAATAAATTGTAATAGTTTAGACAAGATTTTGGAAAAATATCGATGTTTAAAAAAAATTCAACTGCAATTTTGAGGGGGGTTGTAGGTTGAGGTGTGACGTCATTTTAGGGGGGGGGGTCTGGCTTTTTGTGACGACGTGTGACGGAGGGGAGGGGGGAGGTAAAAATCGTCCAAAAAAGCGTGACGTCATTTAAGACATTTATGGATGACCCCCTAGATTCTAGTTCTAGAATCTTTAAAATCATAAAATGTAGGCCTATTTGGCATTTGGGCCCCAATAAATTCATTAAATTATTTAAATAGTTACCAAACTGATCATTAGAATCTATTACTCAGATAAGACTGTTACATCTGCTAAGAATTTTTATTTTTAAGTCGGACTAAACCGAGAGTTGAAAGAAGCTCCTAAAACAAATCGGGCGACCAAGGAAGTGAGAACGTCTGCTACATATGATTGCTCCTTATTATAAATATTATAGTATCGATAAAAAGACACGAACGCTATTTATCAAGTTATAACTACTCAAATGTTGATTGCAAATTAGGATGATTTGCTAAATAAATGCCAGATATAAAAACTATCTACAAAACACGCATTATTTTTATTTATAAATTTTTACATAATCTAAACCTAACGTTATTGATGATAGTACTCGATTACTTTTGGGGCGTCGATTTCACAAGTTTTAATTGCCACATCTACTGACGATTGTGTGTTGAATTCAAAGTTTCGTCTACTATTAATAAATATTGAATTGATGTTAAATATAATTGTAGTCGTCTATGTGTCCATAAGCTGTTTAATATGTACCTCATAGCTAGAATGTTTTGTTTCAACTATTTTATAAAGACTAAATATTTTAATAATTATTTATGTATTATAGTTGAAAGTTGTATCATCCCTTCTGGCACATGAATCCTCAATGCTATCAACTTGAAAACATAAAGGTAATCTAGGTTGATAGTGCTGTCTATTTTCTCTAAACTAAAACCAAAACCAAAATCACCATCTTAATTCAATTTAACTGGAAACAAAAAATGACATTGAAAACGGATTTTTATCCAGAATTGGTACTTTAATTTATACAAAATATAGTCATAGGGGCATATCCCTAAATCATGCACCTAATCTCATTCATGACAAAAGTCGCATTTAGAGTTTCTTTCAGGCAACTCTACTTGGGAGGAGGGGGCTCCGACCCCCCCCCCCCCCACACACACACCCAAAAACATGTCTACCGTCCCATTCAACGAAATATAATTATATATTTTTTCCAGTGTCCGCCCCCTCCCAGAAAATTCTACCCCCGCCCCACGAAAAATTAATGTACCCCCACCCCTCGCCGGTAAGGAAAATGTTTGAAAGAAACACTGGTCGCATTTGTAGATCATACAAACTAAAGGAAGAATCTGGGCGGGGCTTCGCCCCTACCGGAAGAGAGGAAAAAGTCTGAAAGAAACACTGGTGTCGCGCTTAGCCACTACGCGAAGAATTGCATTAAAGAAATTGCAAGAAAACCACTTTTTAGATTAGAGACATTAATTAGGCGGTAATTTTATTATAGAGTATCGATGAAGAGATTTCTTTTGAGTTGGGGAGGGGGGGGGGCTCAGACGTTCTTACGCGGGGGTGGGGCTTCGCCCCTACCCGAAGAATTGTATGAAAGAAGCTCTTCACGCAAACCATTTAGATTAGATTAGACAAAATTGCCTTTTTATTCAATGTTTACTCGAGAATCAATGACGTCATATTACTGTGTGCACTCTCCGGCTAGAGATAATTTTCTACTCTATGCTAAATATGACGACGTCAGACTTCGTTTTTCGAATTACTAGGCATGTTTTTAATTTGCTTGTGTTTTCTCTAGAGCGTTCTTGTCAGATACATAGATAGATAGATACACAGATAGATAGATACACAGACAGCGAAACTATTATTATAGATACATATATATATCCATGAATGACGTCAAGCTTTTTTTGACGATTTTTACCTCCCCCTCTCCCCCCCCCCGTCACACGTCATCACAAAATGCCAGACCACCCCCCCCCCCGCCCCCTAAAATGATGTCACACCTCAGCCTGCAGCCCCCCCCCCCCTCAAAATTCTGTTGAATTTTTCTTAAAACATCGAAATTTTGCCAAAATCTTGTTGGAACTCTGCCAACATAGAGTATTTTGATCAATTCCTATTACAATTTATTAAAACCGTTTTCTAAAAGGCTAAATAACGGCTAAAACTCGTTTTCAAACATTGCTTTTTTATAATGCAAAAAAGTGACGTCACACCATCTAACCCCCCCCCCCCTCATCACACACTGTCACAAAATTAAGGACCCACTCCCCCCTACGAGTGTGACGCGTCCTTCATGGACGACCCTGTATAAATATATATATATATATATATATATATATATATATATATATATATATATATATATATATATATATATATATATATATATATATATATATATATATATATATATATATACATGTTACGCTGAGTGAGGGGCTTTGGTTATTTGATCCAATACCATTTTATCTTAACCACTACCATGTGGAGATGTTGTGTTCACAGACATACATTGTACCATCATTCACTAAGACGACGTGGACGACCAACAATCAATAAGAGGAACGCAGGCTTCTTTTCTTATCTTTAATTCTGTACCCTCAACTCACATACATCCTTCCACAAAGGCGAAGAAAATCATCCTAACTCACGCACAATACCTAGCAACCAGTCTCTACACCAGAACGTCACTGTCGCACCATACGCGTCATCATTCCTTGCGTTCAACATACCTTTCGCACCAACATTCATTCGCACTGATCTATAGCATAGATCCTAACATGCATCATAACATTACCCCCCTCTCCCACTGAAGCTAATAGTATTAGCTTCTA